AAAGCAATGTTTTTCTCATGCCTTTTTTTTTCTTTTCACATCTTGCCTATCTATCATGCAAAGTAATTTTCATTATAAGATTAAAAATACTTTTATGCATCAGAAAATTTTCAAATTTAACATGCAAAGTATTTATAATGTCCAGATAGTTATCAAACATTTCTTAAGAAAAAACTTTATATTTTATCTGTTATTTTCAGTATTTAATCTCTGTACAGGTTTGGTAGATTTGACCAATCTCACAACAACCATAAAAAATTAGGTAATAAATATAAATTATGCCTCTTTCATTTTAGAATGAACACAGATTATAACACGAAAACATAAATGTTTAAACTATATAGCTTAAATCTCATAACATTATACATTTATATATATATTTATTATTTTTATTACATTGACCTTTTCAGCCGTGCCTGGCTAACAATACAGAAGTTACAATGACGCGGCTCACATGCACTCATGTTACCGTATCAAATAACATAAAATTGACCTTTGGTCTGTACAAAGTAACTTGTCTTGGCTGTGTTTTAGTAGACTAGTATTTTATAAAATACAGTCACATTTCAATTATTATACATTATATATGTATATTGATTGTTACTATTTAGAAATAAGTTCTTAAACTTATTTTTACTGAAACATAGAACAGTAAATAATGAAGTAAAGCAAACAATTATCTCTTCTAGTTACGATCTTTGTACTCAGTTGCTAAGCCTTTAAAAAATTTGCATGTAGAGGATATGAAACAAAATAATTTTTTTTATGTTTTATATATATGATGTGAACCCTTAAAATAAGTCAGTATATGATGTGAACCCTCATAATATGTAAGTACATATATATATATATATATATGATGTGAACCCTCAAAATAAGTTGGTTAACTTATTATGAGGGTTCACATCACATACTGACTTATTATGAGGGTTCACATCACATACTGACTTATTATGAGGGTTCACATCATATACCGACTTATTATGAGGGTTCACATCATATACCAACTTATTTTGAGGGTTCACATCATATGTATATGACGTGAACCCTCCAAGTTTTTGTTTTTCCTTTAAGAATTACCCTTTCCATTGTTCTTGTAACTTGGAAATCTTCTGTCTCCGGTTTCAAACAATTCGTGTTTTTTCCAGGATATCAGCAGTGAGTGCCCCACTGGTCACAGACTAAAGAACATCAAGGAACTGTGTGAAATCGTGCGCTCCAAACGACTGAAACAGGTAATGTGTAGAGCTACACATTCTGTCACGTTGTATCATGTTTCTACGTGTATGTGATGGGTAGCTTTGGAAAACCAGAATGTCAGTTTAAATGCAGGTTAATTATTAGCACACACACAGAATTTTGTAGAAAGTTGTGAATGTTAAAATTCTGGTGTTTATAATACAAAAGTAATGTTACATCGCAGCCTTTAAAACTTCAGTTTATACATCTGTGTGATTTATAGCAATGTCCAAAGGTTTACCAAGACATCTAATTCTATTTACTATAGCAGTATAGAAATACAAGAGTGTCAATCTGGTTCAATAATTGTCTAATTAAAGCCCTACATGTTTGTCAACTCAAGAAAATGAAATGTTTACTCTTTTGTATTATTGTTATGTATAAAACGTTATGGATTGGAAGTTTTAAAATGTCTGAATAGAATATCTCACTAGGCCTTTTTGAAATAAATTAGAATAGTTAGCTTTGTTTTTCACCACTGACAGTTAAAAGATTTATGCATGTTGAATTAAAATGTGGGTCCTACAATACACGTTATATAGAATTGTTTAATATTTTCCAGAATGCTGTTGAAGCAGTTGTAGCGAAAACGGAGGATCTCCTAAACCCATCTGTATCGTCTGAAGCACGGCAACTAGTTCTACGTTTTTACTCCTGCCTTGTTCAAGGACAGGTATTTCTGTAGCTAACTGTAGTGACTACCAGAGTTGATTTATTTATGTGTTATCATAATTATTAATTAAAAGTTATCCTTTTTGTTATCTTTCATGAGGATATTTGTTAGGAACCATTCCGAAAATGAAGTGGATGCTAAATGTTGCAATTTGTACTGTCATGAATATACAATGTTAGAAACATACTTTTAACGACTTGTAACCCTATACAGTAGTGTGTTGTCTGTCAGTCAATCAGTAGACATTAACGTGAAATCACATAACAGATGTTTAACATTGCAATTTGTACTGTCATGACGTCATTAAAATGTGAGCAAATTTATACACACTGTAGGCTACAACACAGAACGACATATGAACTTCAAAAGCAAGAAATAAAATATTTTTTAGTCTTAATTTTGAAAAAAACAAAATTATTGAACCTTTAGCTTATGTGATTTCACATTAATGTCTACTGATTGACTGACAGACAACACACTACTGTATAGTGGTAGAAGTGGTTAAAAGTATGTTTCTAACATTATATATTCATGACAGTACAAACTGCAACATTTAGCATCCCTTATGTGATGTCATTTTAGTGTCTACTGATTGACTGACAGACAACACACTACTGTGGTATAAGTGGTTAAAAGTATGTTTCTAACATTAGATGTTGTGAATATTCATGTGGTTTTCTAGGTAAGAGATATTTAGCACATAATGTGAGAGTAAAGGTAAATTTTAGCCAAATGCCGAGCACGTTGTGGCAACCTCAAGGTGTCTTGAAGCTCTTGTGATGGAAAAACAAATAAAATAATTTAAAAACCTGTTATATAAATGGATTTTTTTGCATTTCAAGCTGACATTTTTGTAAGCAAAGTTTCCTTAGCTTCAGAATGAGAACATCCATTTTGCAGTGTAGGAAAACAAGTACATCCTTACTGCTACCTTCAAATTACTTGTTTTTATATTTGCTAAAAGTTAACCTAACAACACGAAATGTTAGCTGAAGTGCCTATTCAGAGGCGTAACAGAAATCCATAAAGAAGGGTACAAGCTCAGGGGAAAAAAATCCATAATTTAGTTATACTTTTGGGGGGGAAAAAATTGGATGAATTTCAAATCTATATTGGTGTGACCAAGAGTGAGCCCCTTTGGAATTTTTTAAATTATCACAGAAAATGGTGCATTTTGATGGTATCTGAGGGTGTTTTTACATCTAATTGTTTTATGTATGCTGTTGACCTCCAAATACAAGAGAAGTAATAGCACTGAGAATGTCTTTAGGGTTCAAAATATAAAGGTGTTTTTTATGGAACTAACATTTTTTGTGTGTCAAAATGAATTAGAACGTCCCAGTTAGGATTTTTGTTTTCATGGTTTGCTACGGACGGTGTAAACCTTTAAGAGTTTAGAAATAAAAGAAGTATCTGTAAAGAAATCAATCGAAAAGTGAGAAACCAAATCTTGGCAGTCTTCTCTAATGTTGTTTTAATTTTTTCTGTCGATTCTTACTGTTATTTGGAATTTGTTATAAACGTATACAAACTGAAAACTTTCTGCCTGCACATATAAAGTCATACACAAATCAATACTGAGCTTTGACATCCTTATGCACCTAATATTTCATAGCTATATTTATACCTGTACCGTGCCACTAGTGTTGAACCTCAAAATAACAGTGATACAGCTCTTATGTAAGATGTTTGTGTAGCGTTTAATTTCAAGAATTGTTTTATGGTAGTCTCCTTATTTATACCCCAAAATGCAAATTTTAATTTATGAACCAAAGAAATTTAACATATGATGTTAAAACATTTAAACAGAGTTGAGAATTATGTATTTTTTTGCAACAACACTCCTATGATTTTAAGAAGGGAACGTATTGTATTTTGTGTACTCCTCTGTTCGAAATCTTTGTGATTAACACAATTACTTTGTACAGGATATCTAATCATTAAATTTCTTTTTTAATCCTTTTTTTATAAGCAAGAGAAAATGACAACTATGAGAGGATACTTCTTTAAGAAGATCAAGAATCATCAGAAGAAAGAAGACATAACACAGAGGCATGTGAAGTTTTCTCTCAAAGTACTTTTCTTCCTTGACTTGTCCCTTTAGCAGGGGTTGCCATCCTTTAATCATCTCTCTTCTTTGCCAAGTCTTCTGCAATTCCTTTATCATATGTCTTCTTTAATTCCATCTCTCAAATGCTTTACCGGCCTTCTCTGTCTTCTCGTGCTGGCAGCTCCAATCCTAACCTGTACGACATACCATGTGATTCAACGGCATATTTGTTTTGCAAGGTTTATACGCTTGGGTTGCAAACCCTCACGATAACCTTCCTACTTTCTCAACTGGGCTTGGGATTGCCCAAGATGGAGTTTTACTCAAATATTGATAGATGAAATTAATTGATCATGCAATTACAATTGTAAGAAAAAAATTTGATTGGGTGTTATAAAACTGATGGACATCGACCTTTTTCCCCTCTGCCTTTCACGTTATTTGAAGCTTGTTTTAGCTCAACTTGGTTTCTACATCTTATATTCTGCTTGTTGTTGTTAGTGACATTAAACTGTTAAATTAAGGTTAGAATCATTGATTTTCTGATATATTTTTTATACTTCTCTTTGTTTAAGATTAGTCTTGGTAAGGTTACTGCTTTCCAAAATAGTGGTTCCATTTTTTGTAATCAGCCTCTATAGTTTATTTTCCAAAGACTTCATGTTGTAAGTAATAATTCTATGTTGCTTTCTTTCTCTCTCTCTCTAAAAAAGCTGTGTTTTTTCTTTTAATTTGAGTAAAACAACGTTTGGGATATTATTTGGGTTTTTAATGTACAGTGAACTAGATTTGGTGGAAGGAATATAAAGTAACAAGCGTAGATGTTACAGCTTTCAGAAGTTATTGTGGTGATCATTTCTTTTAATAGCCTGTGTGAAATAAACCTTACATAATTGAAGTGATACAGCTGAGAAGTCTATCCCTGCTATTAAAGTGGCTTCCAGGAGGCGATGGTGTTCAGTGCCGTTTCATTTACACAATGTTCAAAATCAAACAATTTAAGTATTCTGTTTAAAAATTAGCTATCGGATCAATTAAATGATGGAAAACACTAATTCAATGGAGACTTGTGGAACTGCCGAGTTACACACAAATAGTAACTTGAAAAGTTACAGCTAGGAAGGGTTTATGTATATGAAATTATATTTTTATAAAATATTAAAAAACTCGGGTTAAAACCAACAACATACGACACCACAGTTTTGATCAGAAAAAAAAAACTATAAAGTATTGTCAGAAATTTACCTAGGTGAGAAATCCATTGTAATTCGTAAACTTTTACAAATTTGTCCTGTTATCCGTAACCAGCTCTTTTCAAGTTTCAAGAACATTTTCTTATTGAGCATTTTTCTATAAATGTTGAAAGCTTTGAGTTGTTTTTGTTTTATGATTTACGGATATATAAAAAAAATCTGAACTTTCTTTAGGCTGGAACTTTTCCGAGCCCTCACGGAGAGTGGAAAAGTTATTGTATATTTTGAAGAAGAGACAGGTAAGTTAAAATATTAACTACTTTGGTTGTCTTGGAACGAAAGTATGATGTATGTTTGTCTTATCCGATCTTCTTTGTATAACTCAACTATTTTACAACAAACATTGCTTTGAAAATGTTTAATTATTTTATAGAAATTTTTTTCATAATTTATCAAGAACTTGAGTCTTTACTGATGCTTTAGTTTAACATTTCAGCAGTGGAATGATAATTGGTACTTAATTAACCCTTAATAGGACCTTTTCTTTTGGAGTGGATGCCAGATGTGATTAGTGCCGGCAAATCTACAGAGTTTTTACCCATGGTGATCAACGTCGTTAAGTTTAATGCAGCTTACTTAGATCAAGATATTATCTCGGGTCTCGTTCAGTAAGTTGCATGAAGCATTTATTGTTTGGGCTTTTTGTAAAAAGACAACATATACTTAAGGGTGACATCATCATAAGAAAGAAACCATTTATTATTTGGTTACTGGATATTGTAGAAACTAAGATAACTTATAACGTGAAAATAGTTTAAATAGTAACATAAGATTTAAAAGTGTTTGTTGATTCCAGTTTAATTGTATTTTAAACATTCTGAAAATATATGCATTCGTTCACTTAAAACATCAAGTTTGTTGTTCAAGAACATAAAAAATAGTAAAGAAAGAGATAAATATATTTGTTTTCTTCTTAGGGAAGTTTAATAAATCAAATATAAACTCTTTCAAAATTTAATTCAAACACTTTATTATCATGGTATACAAATAAACTTGGCATCAAAACTTAGCTAATAATCCACATTTTAATAGTATACAAGTTTTAAGTTACTAATTTTATAAGACAATATTTAAAAAAAAAATCCTGATTTCTCCTAGTATGAGAATTGTGACATTTGCTCTCTACATGTCTTCTCTTCTCTAATTTATCTACCACCCCTCCAAGAACTACAAAATTTAATGTAAACTACTCATTATAATGTCATCATTGCTCAGACAAACCATAATTTTTATAGCCTTCAGTCTTATTTGGTGACAGAGCTATAAACTAGAAAATCAGACCACTCTTGCCACACCCACCTGTCACGTTCTGTCTTTCACAAATTACCAATAGATTTCTCTGACATTCTATACTATATTGCTTATAACCAATAAAAAAAGCTGAAGTTTTAGTCTAATTACATATTATATTACGGTGTTTTCTATGCAGAGAATTATCTATTTCACTTCGAGTTCAAACTTTATTCCCTGAATATTTAACAGTTCTTGTTGCACAATTAGAAAGCCAGAAAAATTGTGATAGTTATAGATTGTCTGCTTTTTATGTGTTATTACTCTGTGTTTTTTGGTGCATTATTTAATTTGCTAAATTATTTATCGCATTAGGATTAAAAAAAAAAGTGGGTTTAAGTTTTGTCGACATCAAAAAAAGGAGACCAAATTAAGTACTGTATTTCTTGTTTTTCATGTGTATTCTTTATTTATTATCATAAAAGTAACTAAAATGTAAAGATTAGAAACTATTTAGGTTAAATAAAGAACAATAATAATAATAATGATTTTTCATGAGGTATGCTCACAAGTAGCCCATGCACTACGTAATTCGATAGGGTAGCATGAGCTACATGTTTGCCAAGTGATTTACAACTTTTTTGGCACAAATATAAGTTAGACATGATTTAAAAGGCAATGAGACAATAAAATTTAAGTATAAACAGATGTTATGAGCTTAAAACTACTTATAATAAGTGAATGTAGTTTCATGTTACAATTTGAAGTCATTTATTTGATATTTTTTTATGAGGTTGGTGTGTAGAGTCAGGGTAGAGAAAATAACATACAATGAAAGTTTACTGGAAAACGTTTTAAGTTTATTTAGGTCTTAGTGATTGTGTAGATGAAATTTGAGAATTTTCAGATGAAGCAAGTTATTTTTACTCTTAACACGAAAATCACTTTGCACTTGGAGCAGTTAAACACTTTTAGTGAAAATACATCATCAGAAGTTCTGATCTTTGTCTACAAAAGACTTAGTGATTACTGAAAGCTTGTGAAATTTTATGAAGATACACAAAGCGTATTAGAAGTTATAATATGGAAACTATAATGGTCAATTTGGGGTTATGAACTCGGCTGATTTGGCCGATCCAGTGGCGAGAGTGTTAAAACAAAAGTCAATTATAGTTTTCTTAATTGCAGTTCATAGGTTAGAAATTTTTTTGACTCGTGCTTTTCTGTATCATAAATTTGACCAATAGAAGAAAAGCTATCAGAAAGGATGTGTTGAAGATATGCTACCTACTCGTAATATGTGACTTACAGATAATCATAAATACACGCACCAGAAAGGTGTATTAGGAGTGTTGAGGTGTGTACAAGGTACCAAAGCCTGATTAATTATTAAAGTGAATATCAGAAAGAACATAGTATAGGTTGTTGGAACTCTGAAAAATTGATATCTGAAATGTTCCTAATGCTTGGTTATGTATCTAGTATTTTATTTTATAAGATTTAATTTCTAATTAAGTGTTTCTTGTCTTTCAGACATTCGTGCACTTTATGCTGTCGCACCAATGCTGAAGAAGTAGTACAGGTTAGTGAGTGAACTTTTTATAGTATATCTTTACGTAAGAAGCTGGTCAAATAAACTGTTTATGCTGTCGCACCAATGCTGAAGAAGTAGTACAGGTTAGTGAGTGAACTTTTCATAGTATATCTTTACGTAAGAAGCTGGTCAAATAAACTGTAAAGGTTTGTAAAACATCGTTCTTTATAACAAAAAAACTTGAACTTCACGTCAGTTGGTGTATTTGAAAATTGATTTTTCTTGCTTGTCATTAACTGTGGCAAGAAGTAACATGTGAATGAAACAAACCATGATGTGTGTGAATATTAAACCCATTGAAGTAAAGTGTGTGAATATTAAACCAAGTGAAGTGTGTGAATATTAAACCAATTGAAGTGAAGTGTGTGAATATTAAACCCATTGAAGTAAAGTGTGTGAATATTAAACCCATTGAAGTGTGTGAATATTAAACCCATTGAAGTGAAGTGTGTGAATATTAAATCAAGTGATGTGTGTGAATATTAAACCCATTGAAGTGAAGTGTGTGAATATTAAACCAATTGAAGTGATGTGTGTGAATATTAAACCAATTGAAGTGATGTGTGTGAATATTAAACCAATTGAAGTGAT